AATTTAAGAAAAAACTTTTGAAGAATCTGTTTCTCCACTATTAATAATTCAGATCCTGGTGATCTCAGCAATTTGGTGCCCACAACTCTCTTCCATCTAGTTTGTCCAAACAGACTGTACCCAGGGCTTAACTCTTTCCATTCCACATAATGGTTATCTCAATCATTTTGCTTTGGATGCCTTATTGTCATCAAGCTAACATTCAATCTTCTTTTCTTAGAGTTTGTAGTCAAGTATTATTTAAGAGAGGATGATGTAGATAACAAGAGAAAGACAAAAACATGAATTGTCATTTTTTTGTATTGTAATCTAATTAAAATAGTTTGTCACATTCACATATTCTTCAGAGACACTAAGATATTGGATTTATGTTCAGGACATCCGACTGTAGAATTAATGAATCATAGATACCCTAAAGGAACTTTATCTCAGATTTGAGCACATATACAAGGGCAAGGTACATTAAGCAAAAATGCTCTTTCATAGCTCTATGATACCTTTGGTGAAAAAAAGTTCAAATTGTGATAGGCTTGTATATATTTAATTGGAAATTCAAAAATATACTTGTATGACATCAGTGCAGGCAAAACCCTCTTATGGGTATTAAAATGTAATTCAGTGTCCTCAGCGACCAATTGCTGCACTTATGTAGAGTCTGTGTCAAGTTAAACTATTTTAAATTACACGCTATCAACAGTTCAACACTTTAGCATCAGAGGAAGCTCAAGTCGTAGTTGACAGCTGAAATAAACCAAAGCCAAGCTCCTTACATAGAAGGTAACTTGTCTTGACATGGATTTATCTGGATGTCCCGGAAAGTCTACGTAACATTGAGAAAAAGAAATGAATACTACCTGTTGATGGTAAAATCTCGGTGCAAGGAATTTCTCCAACGCATGAGATCCTTTTCATCATAACCTTTTGGCATCTTAGGCAGATGAGCTTCTTCTTTCTCTCCATCCTGGCTTGTCACTGTTTCAAAACTAGATACCTGGAGACCAAAACCATGCAACGAGATAGTACAGACAGCCAGAAAGGACCATTAACACTCAAGTGGCTATTTTAAAACACAAACATCCTCAGGAAGGCGAGAAGTGATATTACAAACCTCAACTTCAGAACCTCTGACATGAACCTTACATATTGGAAACCTTCGGCCCACTATAAAAGCACGATGAAATTTTTTCTTGATCTGCAAGAAAAGGAAAATGGAGAAGTTACTAATAAATTCTTCATGAATGAATCGCAAGTATGAGGTTAATACTAAGCATCACATCACCTGTCGGAGACTTGCTGATGTGACTACATCAAAATCTTTGGGGATTTTGTTCAGTAGTAAATCTCTAACACATCCACCAACAAAGTAAGCATCATGACCTGCAGATTAACAAATCAGAAGATGCCTTATCAATAAAGATTTCCCAATGTACATTAGTAAAAAAGTATTGAATCATGACTGTCGTGAAACAAAAGTACAAAACAGTCAAGGTATATTTCCCAATTCCCACCATCTGAGTCAATGTTCATTATTACTCGGACCCTCTTCATTTCATCTCAAGTACCCATGTCGGACCCTCGACACTTGGACGTGGGTAGGACACTTGGACACTTCATTCTTGTTCAAACTTATGGAAAATATTCACAAAAAAGCCGAGTTGAAACTCGGACACATACCCATGTCGGAAATGGTTTCCGAGTCTGAGTAACATAGATCCGAGATCCTATTATCCTTTCAGCTTTGATTCTATGCGTCAAAACTTTCGAATAGTTATTGGGCTCATACCCACACTTACGTTCAAGCCTTCTCCCTTATTCCTCATACTATAAGATCTTATGATAGCTCTCAGCCATATTTTTACCACATTATTCGAAGATGGAACCGACGGAAAATTTTTAATTAACTTCAACTTTAATTTTGAACTGAAAAGCCCCCAAAGTTCAAACTGTGGTGGCTGGTGGGGACAACTTTGGTATTTTCAAATAACTTCAGGGCTAAATCCCATAATATAGGCATAGATTTGCAAAACAGACAACTGCTGCAAAGTTAATAACAACTTTCCATGACATTGCTACAGCATGAATCCATGTCAACCTTAGAATAAAGAAACTAATAAGCACCAGAGTTACAGTAAATCAAATAACAAAAAGTGAAATAAACTAAAATAATAAAGCTTGGAAGATGCTAAGATAAGCTAGAAATACAAGGTTCACATTTCCTATAAACCAAACTGCTCAATATTATTGACAAAATACTAGCTTCAAGCACCCAATCCAAGCACCTAAACACAATGCAAGACTCAGCTAAGCAACCTAAGAGAGAGTCTATCTTGTGTACTGAAAGAAAAGGGGTTTAAAAAAAAAAGGTGGTGATCAATGAAAAGCCAATAGCTAAGAGAAAGGATGGCGAGTACAGTATAGCACAACAAACCAGCCATGAGGAAAAATCAAAATGCGGCACAGAGAGAGAAATTGAAGATTTCTAAGTGATTGCCCAGGATGTCAAATTCCATTTGTTACTATTTTTCCATATTAAATCAGTATGATAGTAAGTAACAAGTTAACAACTCATATAAGCATGAAGGGCCAAATAGATGAAAATCTAACTACTAATACTGCCTTATCTAATTTAGTCCATTTAAGACCAACAAATAGATTTGTACAAGCAATCAAGAGAGTAACCTTCACTTTGTAGAATCTTAACAACAGTCTTTGATCCATATGGTATCATCGACAATGTTAATCCTAGTTCCCTTGCATCCATCTTTTTCCATTTTGAAGTGTCAGCAACATCTGTAAACATGGTGATCGCATAAAAAATTAATTCATCGATTAGCTTTGTTACATGTGTCAATCATATTTTACAATTGAAAGTACAAATCATTACCAACAAAAGTAAAGCCGCAATCCTCTCATGTCTTGTTATGACGGATTGACAGATACAAAAAAGATTAGCGAAGAACATATCAGATCACACGGGTTCACATGGTTCACTAACAATGGATACCTACGTCCAAGGGCAGGTGAAAGAAAGTTTTATTGATATTGAGAATAGGCCCAACTTGTTGATCATGGGGTTATTTGTAGGGAGCTAACAAATTCAAGACATGCTCTAACATGTTTGTTCCTTTTCTTTTATTAAATACGAAAGATATGAGTTCCGGCAAATGTACATTGAGGGGTACCCACCCAAACACACACAAGAAGAAACACCAAATCACAGGCTGCATATATATAATTAAGAAAACACGTGCTAGAGACGTTAGGAAAATGGGGACAACAAAAGATGGATACAAATCGATCTAGACAAAAAGCAATCTCGCAAATCATTGTTATGGACAGAGAAAATCCTCCCAACTTGAATACTAATATCATTCACCATTGTTTCTCAGAAGATACATACAGCACATCAAAATCTAGCTAACTCAGGGCACAATGAAAGCCAAAATCATAACTAACACACCCATCAAAATAAAACCAAAGGGTCATAATTCTAGATTACTAGGAAGTGTAATAACCTATAATTTAAGCAAAAACGATGCATCTATTAGGCTTGAGAAATAAACATGTACACAATTTCAAATGCTGAAAGATAGAGCTAAACCCAGAAATTACCAGAGGCAACCATTGCTTTAGGACCCAACTCTTCAAAAAACTCAGCTTCTGAACCCTTTTCAAGGACAGTGTGACAAAACCTCTGAAACAAGAAGTGAACAAAAATTGCAAGCATGAAAAATGTAATACCCAGAAAGTGTTCGACAAAATGCCTCAAAGAAAAAATTAAAGGTACAAAGAGAGAAAGAGTAACCAGTTGCGGAAAAAGGCATTTGAGCCTGAAAAAGGAGGGTTTTAATTTGAGAGATGCCGCCATAATAATGGTAGACTCATTCGTGCAGAAGAACCATTTGAAGAGAGGAAGAAGGAGGTGAAAACCCCGCGCTTAAGAAGAAAGAGACAGAGTATGTTGGCTGCAACGTTGCTGCTAATTCTTGCCTTTTGAACCAAGTTTAGTTTATTAGGTCTCGGTAAGAAATAAAGAAAATGTGAAGATTAAAGCAACAATGATAATATACTCCCCTATTTTGTAGATTAAAAAAAAAATTATGGAGTATTCATTTTGTATTAAAAGTATTTGAATGAGCATTTTTATATTGTTTGATAAGAATAAAAAAATACGTACTACTATATCATGAACTTCTGATTATGATGCGCATTATGTTTTCGAATTAAGATATACTTATGTAATAGTTAGAGATTATAAAATAATGATTTTCCAGTAAATTTTGAACTAAATACATGTTTGATAGACCTACTTACGACACGAGAATAGCAATTTCTTATAAAACATGATTACTTTGAAAGTTTTTAAATCGGTGCATATTCCAAGAATATTGAGGCAATTCATGAACCTACTGAATCGTTTCATAGGATGAGTTTTGATCATTCCCCTTTCTTCCCGATGAAAACATGCATATTTCTCCTTTATCTCTAACGAAACCCAAGTGCCTCTATCCGCTTCCTCCGTCTTCCCGTTAGTGAAGTAACAATTCTTACAATACCGAAACCCATCACAACACCGATCAATCAATCATCTCGTTTTTTCACTTAACTTGTCATTGTCAATCTCTTTGCTAACTTGTCGATCGACCACAAAACACATCCTAAAAAGTGAAAACATGGTCACCCCTATTTTTTAGGGTTACCATGCCCTGAATTTCACCATTTTCACAAGGTTTTCATTTAATCTGACGGTGAAGCCATTAGAGATGGTGGGGTTATTGGTGGAAACGTAGACTGAAGGTGGGTGGAGATCGAGAAGGATGGAGAAAGATTCAATGGTGCTAGTGGAATATCCAACTCAACACATGACTCCAGCAACGCTTCAAACATGAACAACACAAATCTAATGTGTATGATTTCACTGTTCCTTCTATATTACAAACTTGTAGTAGATAAAAAAAAACTCAATGCTATACACATCCGGGTACTGTGTACACCCGGAGTCATTTGCTAATTCAATCAACAAATGAATAAAAATCGGATGTACGATACACGCGGGTGTACATAATAGACTCTCTCAACTCTTAAAATCAACCAAAATTAATACTCCATACTCCGTATTTGAATTTGCGGCCTTGGGGGGCACTCTAATTTCCAAAATTGCTCACCTACGCATCCGCAGATTCCGCACTGGCGCACTGCTCTGCTCTCACTCAAATCCACCCACCAATTCTCCGACGAAATTCCCATTTTCTATCTCCTCCCTCCACCGATGCCGGCGGCATACTCAACGACGACACCCACAATTCATTCAAACTGGAGGTCTTGGAAATCACTCTCACCACCACCCAAAATTGATTTCCCAATTCGCAAAACCCCAATAAAGTAAAAACAAAAACAAAATTAGGGCAAAAAAAATCAATGGATTTCATAGAATTAGAAGGAATTGAAGGTTTGCGATGGTCATGGAATTCATGGCCGACTTCGAAATCCGAAGCAACTTCTCTGGTAATCCCACTTTCAATTATGTGTACACCATTAGCTTTAATGGAGTCTTCTGAGCTTCCTGTGTTAGAATATGAACCCTTGATTTGTATCAAATGTGGGGCAATTTTGAACCCTTATGCTCGGGTTGATTATCAATCGAAGATTTGGCATTGCCCTTTTTGTCATAATAGAAATGGGTTTCCTAAATCGTATGCTTGGATTGGTGAAAACAATCTTCCTGCTGAACTTTTTCCTACTTATAGTGCGGTTGAATACCAGTATCAGTTTAGTAATTTAGGGGGTGGAAATGGGTTGTCTTCTTCCTCTTCATCTAGCTCGATTCCGTCGATGTTGGCCGGGGCGGTTGATTCGAAACCCGGGCCGGCTTTCGTGTTTGTGGTGGATCTTTGTACGCCGGAGGATGAGCTCAGGGCACTTAAGAATGAGTTGTTGCATGTGATCTCTTTATTGCCTGAGAATACATTGGTGGGATTGGTTACTTTTGATTCAATGGTTAGAGTTCATGATTTAGGTTTTGCTGATTGTAATAGGGTTGTGCTCTTTCAAGGTAGCAGGGATCTCAGCTCAACTCAGGTAATTTTTTTTTTTAATTTGTTGCTTCAAATTTTTAAATTTTCATTAACTCTTATTTGTTGCCAAGTTTAGCATTGATTGGTAAACTAGTTAATTGTTCTATTTCAATTAACTATGTGAATTACTTGTTTATTGGATCATGGTGAAACCGTGAAAGTTGATGACTTGAAATTTTGTTTTGTTTTCCTCTTATTGGTCTAGAGTGATGCCTGGACTATTTTCTTCAATGGTACCTAAAAGATTATTACTTGGCTAGAGTTTTATTAAAATGATAATCTATTAAAATGATAATCTCCAGGTTGGCTTCTTAATAAGTTAAAAATGGTTGTATCACTTGCGTGGCATTGTCAATAGGTCTGCTGCAGTTTTCAAATCACCATTTTTATCATAAAGAGTTGGATTTGGAAACTGTAGTTTAGAATTGGGAAAGCTTTAATAGCTGTGCACTTTACTCGTATCAGTAGTATGGCTTATTTGGTATGACCGTATGAGGTTATAAATCAAGAGAATGGTAGGTATTTGTGTGTAATTTGGCATGGAGTATCCCTGTGAATGTCAACTGCTATGTATCTCTACCTACAAACCTGTACTTTCCTTCATACATTTCCTTGAAGTGGTAGTGAGTGTTATACACATGTTAAGAAGAAAACCACATGCTTATAAAGGAGATGAGTTACTTTGGACATATATATGTGACATTCTCTGCGAAATATTACACAAAAACCATTATGATTTATGCAAGAGTTTGAAGAATTCATACCACATCGGTGATGACCTCTATCAAGGTTCCATCTTTTGCAAGATGGGGGTTAGGATCTAAAGGCTTCCCCTGCAGCTGCTAAGAGGTGTAATTGATTATAGTGGTAATGGCCTCATTTGATATCTTGACTTCTCCACTAGGAATAATTGCAGGACACTTCTATGAGGAAATTTGACCTATTCCACTGTAATAAAAGTCTTGAAATTTTGCTCAATATGAAAACTTTTGACTTGTTAGAAAGTATCAAAGTTCTTACCTCAGAGTTTTCCTAGAGAATAGTGAGTAGAATGTAGCACTGTAGGGTTTTGAGACAACTCTTTTGCAGTAATTTCAACATAGTAAGAGGGTCTCATACATGTATTAATGTTGAATCTCAATTATAAACAATGATATACCTTTTCATGCATGCCTTGGCGATTAAATTAGATCAATATATTTAATTATCGATTAGCAAAAATTATATATATAAGAAAATTATTTTTTTAAAATGTATATTAGGGAGAGAGGGAGAGAGAGTTTTCCATAATTCTAGCTATCTAGTTTTAAGATGACTAGATCGTGTCGTGCATAATTCTAGCTGTCTAGTTTAAAGATGATTAGATCGTGTCGTGCGGACGAAGTAGAGAGGCTACACTTGGAAAATTCATTTTTGTTCTTAATTGAATTGACAAGGAGGAATGCATCAAGAGGATATCATTTTTTATGATTGAGATTCTGTATCAAAATGTGTATGAGATCCATACACCATTTTGTTGTTTCCACAATAGTTTCATCAAAACCCTACAAGCTTTTGCATTGTAGAGCTTAAGAGAATATGCTATAGCTTCCTCGTCTACGAGTGTAGCAGTGTGAAAAATGGTCTTTATGTGTATTTCAGGTCACATGATGATAGATAATGTAGAATCTACTGCTTATGTTCTATTATTTTCAATTTAAGCTTCAGAATCTGGTAGTCCAGTGGCCTATGGGAGAACGGCGTCAAATGAAAGTTGCATTATGTTCCTCCCATCTGAATTCATGTCGGTGAAGACGGAATAAGTTATCTAATAATTTCATTTCTAAGATTATTTCTTATGTTATGTCTCACCCTCAGATTCAACAACTACTACAATTTCCAACCATGAAACAACCTTACCTTGGGAAGACCACGGTTGTCCAAAAGCAAGGCTTTCTGTTAGCAGTGTCAAACTGTGAATTTGTTGTCACAACAGCAATTGAAGAGATATGCTCTTCAGGAATTGTTGCTCGTGGTCATCGCTCCCTGAGGGCTACTGGAACTGCAATATCTGTTGCAGTCGCACTTATAGAAGGATGTACAGTGAAAACAGGTTCCAGGGTCATGGTCTTTACATCTGGGCCTGCAACTATTGGCCCTGGCATTGTCGTGGAGTCTGATTGTAGCTATTCAATAAGAAATCACCAAGAGTTGATAAATGGTTATGCTCCTTTTTTCGAAAAGTCTTGCAGTTTTTATAAGAAAATCACTCAGCGATTATGTGATGCTTCCGTAGTTCTTGATTTGTTTGCTTGTTCTTTGGATCAAGTGGGAGCAGCAGAATTAAAAGCCCCAGTTGAAAGGTCGGGTGGATTTATGATGCTCGGAGAAGTATTTGACTCAGAGCATTTTAAGAAATGTTTACGTCATCTATTTAAATGTGACAGCAATGGGAACCTGAAGATGTGTTTGGATGCATCTATAGAAGTGGTGACAACTAATGATGTAAAGATTTGTGGTGCCCTAGGTCCATGTGTATCTCTTCGGAAGAGGAATAGTCTAGTGAGTGACAATGAGATTGGGGAAGCTTCTACTAATGCATGGAAGTTGTGCTCTCTGACAAACAAGACATGCATTGCTTTTTTCTTTGAAGTTAATGACAGTCAGAAAGTTGAACCTGGCTCTGCATTTTTTGTTCAGTTTATTACCCGTTACCGATATGGAGCAACTGGGATCCGGAGAAGAGTGACAACTGTAGCAAGAAGGTGGGTGGGGAAGAATTCGCCGGAGATTTCTGCTGGATTTGATCAAGAAGCTGCAGCTGCTGTCATGGGCAGGCTTGCAATTGACAGAGCAGAGAGTCATTTTGTTAGAGATGTCATCAGGTGGCTGGATGATAATTTAATACGATTTGCTTCCCAGTTTGGAGACTACATTCAAGAAGACCCATCTTCATTTCGCCTTTCATCGAACTTCTCTCTGTATCCTCAATTTATGTATTATCTAAGAAGATCCCAGTTTATCAATGTATTTAACAGCTCTCCAGATGAGACCGCTTTCTTTACGTTGATGTTGAATCGTGAAGGAGTGGTTGGTTCTATGATCATGATTCAACCAACGCTTTTCCAATATTCATTTGAGGGCCCACCTATTCCGGTCCTCTTAGATATTTGCTCAGTGTCTCCTGATGTAATTTTGCTTTTTGATTCATACTTCTATGTGGTCATTCACTATGGCTCAAAGGTTGCACAGTGGCGGAAGCTTGGTTATCACAAGGACCCTAATCATGAGAATTTCAGAAAGTTGTTGGAAGCACCTGAACTGGATGTAGACCAACTTATTGCCGAACGGATGCCAGTTCCTAAAGTCATCAGATGTGACCAGCACAGCAGTCAGGCTAGGTTTCTTCTCGCCAAGTTGAACCCATCTGTAACCCATAATTCAAAGTATGCTGACGGCTCGGAAATCATATTCACTGATGATGTGAGTTTGCAAGTTTTCATGGATCACTTACAAGAATTGGCGGTGCGAGGATGATAACTTCATAATCATTCCAGGTTTTTTTTTTTTTTTTTTTTTTTTTTGGGGGGGGGGTTTGGTTATGAATCTGCCTTTTCTTAATGAAAAAAAGAAGCAAAAAAAAAGTCATCAGATATGGTGTTTTTAAGAGAGGCAAATTTCCTCTTCTTTATATTTAACCATTAGGAAAGGAGAGGATATTTGCTCTTTCCTTCTTGTGTATGCAGTGAATTGATTGTTAATTTACACATTCAAATATACCATACCAACTCATTTTTGTAAAAAGCCTTCAGGTATTGCTTTCAGAAGGCGTGAATGGAATATTATGGTTTCCAACCCTTATATTCACTAGCCTTTCTTTTTGGGTTCAGGTGCAGAAACTATATCAGCCCAAAATAGGAAAAATGCTTAGGACTGACATTTTTTCCCTTTTTGGGGGGCACACCGCGAGGATGGCATCTATTTGGGTTGAGGGTATTTTCATATTTCCCCATTTGCCATTTTCACTTCTTTTTATCCAGAGTTCTGGATGCAGCCATTGTCAGTCTATGAATTGTGGATGAACCTGATGTGGCTGCCCTGCGATTGTATAACTTCATTGGGTTAAAGTAGTTTCTTTTGTGCTTAGATATATTGATGTAGATTCACCCAACTCAGTTGCTAAAGGAACTTACATGCTGAAATTTAGAACATCACAGGGCCAAGCCCTCACATCTGGTTCTTCTGAGAGTATTTTCTCTATATATGCTTGTTGTATCTTCCAAATTATGGCTTAGCATAATAAGCATTATAGTTTAAAATGATAAGAAGACACTTTTTTCTCTCCTTTTTCTTTTTTTTTTTTTTTTTTTTTTGATAAAAGGGAGAATTTCTGTGGCACTGCAAATGTGTATAACTTAGTTGTTATTGAATGCTGCAACGTGTATAATATATTTCGTTCGTCCCATAGTAAATGTAGGAGGACCTGTGTGTGGGGGGTGGGAGGGTGAACTGAGAAAAAGAAAGTTGGTGGCTGGTTGTGGGTTCCAATGTTATTGAAAAAGTGGATGGAGGGAGTATTAGGCACTCAGCTTTGGTCTCTGATTCTTACAGTCATTCTTGATTACTAGTAGAAACTATTGCACTTACTCTTGGAGTCTCGGTCATTTTATTTTGCAAGGGATGTGGAAAGTATTTGCATTGGCACCTCAGTTTCAGTTTTCATGTCTGTATCAAGTGGCTCAAAAGAAGACTATGCACCTGCTCATGTCAAAATGCAATTTAAGCTGTATATTCGTACTAATTAATGTACTAGTTCTCTTCTTGCATCATCTAGTGGAGTGGTGATACTCTGAGTTTATAAAAGCTTGTTCATCATGATTAATCTGAGATGGATCTTGTAATTATCCAACAAAAAATTTTCTCCTAATAATTAGTGTTTTTTTGCCTTTCTGGTTCTCCCTTTTGATTTACTCAATTTGTTCCAGTTTTTGGAGAGAACATCAGGTTATGTTTTTTTTACTCTTCCTGATAGGTGGTTATGTGTTTACTCTGTTTTTAGGATGCTATTGGACATTGAATTGATTGATTTGTTAATATGGAGTATGTATTTGCTAATATATTTGCCTTCTTTGTTTAATGTATAAAAGTCATCCAAAAACAAAATTATCATGGAAATTTTGATATTTAACACCCCCAAGTATTACCCACATGCTTATCATGCATTTATTTGCTTAAAGCAATTTCAATTACAATTAGCTTGTCATGCCAAATAAGCTTTTAAACTAATTATCACTTTAGCTACTTTTTGCTCCAATGGCTAGCTATTAGCTTAGTAGTGATTGTTGGATTGAAAATACATGAAAAAAGCTTAATTGGTTCAATGAGCATTTTATTTTGGCTAGTTTAATTCCCAAGCAAAGCTAATTGAGTTTTCTAGCTCCAATGGTCAAGCTAATAGATAGGGAATTATTGAAATTGCAAGCAAGTCTCCAGCTACAACCATTAGAGTTGCTCTTAGGACCTTTCACGCAAAGTGTCTTAACTTTGGCAGAAATTGACATTCTTTAATGATATTTAAATTAGATTTAAGTCAACTTTATATATTTAAAAAAATATATGGATGAGGTGGTTTGAACAATTAACCTCTTAGGAAAAACTTTATTGTTTAATCATCTAGACTAATTGTCGATTATGCTCTAAACCTGCGTATATTTAATGTTGTATTGTTTGTGTAAATAAAAATTTGATATTATACTACAATAGTAATAGTAGTAATAAAGACTTGTAAGTTGTAATACACATAATACAGAAAATTTTGGAGAGTAAGCTTATTGTGCCCTATTAGAGATTTGACTAATTAAAATAGCTAATTTAGGGCCAGTGTCACTTCTGCTTAATTTCATTTCAGTTCAGTTCTGTTCAACTCCAATCAGTTCAGTTTAGTTTAGTTCTTAATTTCCTTCTCTCATAAAATATTAAGTTTAGTTCACTTTAGTTAATGTGAACAAGCCCTTAGGTGTTGGGTAAATAGCTTATTAAAAAAGCGTTTTGGTCTCGAAAAGCTATTTTGGCTATTTGAATAATTACCTTTTGAAATGAGTTTATGTTGAACAATTAGCTTTTTGACTATTTGAATACACAAAAATAACTAATAATTAACAGTTATTTATCAAACACTTTTACATAATTAACTACTTCGTATTTACTACTAGTTAATATAACCAGCCAGTCAAAGCAAGTAATATCAACTAGCTAATTACTCGTACCAATACGAAGTAAGAAACAAGGTTTATATGTTTTAAAAATTGTTACTCGTATTGGTTAAAAACAGAAAATTGAGATTATCTATTGAGTCGTGTCATCATCGGGTGTAATGAACTAGTAGTGTATAATTAAGAGAGAGAGCGACAAACGCAAATACAAATGGTAATCGAGTCGGACGCCGAGCTCCCGCCAACATGCAAAAAATAACAAGTCTTATAATCCCCAAATTCAGTTGACGACTTTCATTAGGGTTTTGCTGGATTCTCAGTGTTAACCCTCACCATTCATCTTCACAAAATTCTCTCATTCCCCTAATTATGGCTGGTATTTCTTCTTAATCCCTAATTTCATTTTCATTTTCAATTTCAATTAATGTTTGCTTCGTCGTCTTTGAATTTTTTTTTAATTAAACTATCATTTTTTGCTTAAATTGCTGCAATTTTGACATTATTTGCAGAAGATAAAGTGTCGTTGGATTTGACGGAAGAAACTCTTCAGAGCATGGAAGTCGGCATGGCGTTTCGCGATTATGTAATGTTTCTCTGTCACTCCGATTAATTTTTAATAAATTGTGTTATGATGATTTTGTTGTATGGATTGGTGAATTTGAAGAAATTTGAATGATTTGTCGTTGCAATTGAGGAACTGTAATTTATGAGATTAATTAATGTTGTCATTAATGTATATACCAGTCATGCATACACTATTGAGTAAGGATTATTGCTGATTGTCTGTGTATAAGATCGCCTTTCGTAGTTTCTGCTAATTCTAGCGTATTGAGTGCTCGGTAGTTGGTAACGGCATATTTTAACTGAATTGTTAGTGTATTTGATGTTTCATGGTCAACCTATGGAGAGACTTTAATGATTGTAGCACTTGTTGCTGTTGCAGAGTGGAAGAATCAGTTCAATGGACTTCCATAGGACCTCAAGTTACTTGGTAACTGCTAGTGATGATGAATCGATCCGCTTGTATGATGTCGCCAATGCCACGTAGGTGTTTTGATTCTGAAATATGAAGCATTTTACACACGCAGTCTATGCTTGCCAAATAAGGATGCAACTTTTTTAGGGTTTACAATTATCATTTCCTATTTGTTCTGCATTACATTGACTCTAAGTGTCTCTTTCTGTTGTTTATATATAATATTAAAACTACTCCATCTTTTAGGATATAATAGTCGCTTTATTCCAAACCCCAAAATGTAAGGATTTAGATGGTTTTCCACAATGATTTCGACTTGTGCAAATTGGGTTGGACGATTAATGATGCAGCAACTTCCATAGAGATCACCATATTCCGAACCTGCCTTTAATTATGAGCATGACTACATTTGATAGCATTGGACAGTTGTCACATGGATTTAGAGTAGACTGACTTTGTTTCGAGAGTGAATATTAAGCAACATTCTGTGTTTAGTTTCCTAATCATCAGCAGTGATTTGTAATTATCTATAACATTGAAGTAATGTCTGCTAATAAATCACAGCAGATAACAACCTCGTTGACTTGATAGAAGGCGAAAGGATAACAAAGGATTATCTGTTGCTTCCGAAGGCAATGTATAGTTGGTGCCTTAAGGGAAAAGTATCCAGAAAGAACCTACCAAAAATAGAAACAAATAGTGAATTCATTCCAAACATACCTCCTAACAGTGTCTACCATGATACAGTTTGGCTTCTACACCATGGTCTGCCATTACTTGTGAATTTTTTGAATTAAGCTTTATGACTTCATTGCAAGAGAGATGAATGGTGGCTAATTGAATTAGGCAATTGTTTATGTTTATGTTTAGTTTTTAAATCATCCTGCAGTTTCTTTAATTATATGGAACTTTTTGTTTACATTTTGCTGTTGTCATGTATAAACTCGCTATTTCATTCTGATATACAGAGATTATTAAAAACTTTGCTTTTGTTTTCAGATGTTTGAAAACCATCAATAGCAAGAAGTATGGAGTTGAACTTGTGTGCTTTACTTCTCATCCTACAACAGTGATCTACTCGTCAAAAAATGGCTGGGATGGTAATTTAACTTGACTCTAGATCACGTAAACGGTAAATTGGTAAATGTATATATTTAAGATTTATAATCAGATATAATTTGTCTGCAGAGTCACTGCGGCTTCTCTCCTTGAACGACAACAAATATTTGCGATATTTCAAAGGTCATCATGATAGGTATTAGTTCCTTGGGTCATCCATATATGTGACTGATTTTACTTCTCATGATTCATGTTGCCTGACAATACTCCTTTCAGGGTCGTATCCCTAAGCTTGTGTGCTCGCAATGAATTCTTTATATCAGGTTCTCTGGACCGGACTGTTCTGCTATGGGACCAACGGGCTGAGAAATGTCAGGTATGATTGTTGCCTGTCTGTCCCTTGTCTAAATTAGGTATTGTTTCCCGTGCTTGTCTGGTGAGTGATACCTAAAGGATTATTATCTTTTTTTATTCTATTTCAGGGTCTTCTACGTGTCCAGGGAAGGCCTGCAACAGCTTATGACGATCAAGGATTAGTCTTTTCGATTGCTTCTGGAGGATATATAAGATTGTTTGACACTCGCAAATATGAAAAGGTTTGTGCTTCATGTCCTCAATTTGCTTATCTAAGAAGATGTGGGTTCCTTAGAAGGTGTGTTTGATGGCTGATTTCTTGTTATTTAGGGCCCTTTTGAAATATATTCTGTTGGGGGAGACTTCTCTGATGCCAATGTAGTCAAATTCAGCAATGACGGGAGACTTATGCTTTTAACAACAACCAATGGATTTATTCATGTGCTTGATTCATTCCGTGGTACCCTTGTAAGTTCCTTACCCCCCAATTATTGTTTTATAAGTAAAATAAAAATATATATGTCTATTAATCAGCTGTAATAAAAAAATTAAAACTCATGTAGGACAAGTTGTCCTCTAAACAGAAACCAAGATTACATCTTAACCCAGTTTTTATTAACTTCTCAATTGAGTATGATTATAATGTAAATATAGGGTGTTACTCTGAAAATCTTTTTTTTTTCCTAATTTTTTTTCCTGTTTCTTTTGACGTTATATCCAGTTATGCTCATTTAACGTAAAACCAGTATCCACCAATTCGACTTTGGAGGCCTCATTTAGCCCCGAGGGAATGTTTGTCATATCAGGTAATACACAAAGTTTTTTCTCTATTAGCTCCTTGGATGGCTTAATTGGCTATTTTAACTAGCCACCTTTACTCTTGTGATTGGCCCTTCGGTTTATTATTGGGCACCCTCGTTTTTTGTGGAATTATGTGCATGTGTCTGTGTGGGGTATAAACTTCTTTGAAGTCTGTCAAGCCATCCATATGACTGTAAGAGAGAGAATTAGCTTTTTTATTTTCTTTTTTAAGATGTAGATTGTGAGCGTGTTTTGGGTAGGGTTAGGGTGACTTTGCTGCTCCATAGTCCATATGACTAATGGACTATGCTCAATGGCCCAGCCTTTCATGAGATCATCATCTTTGACCCACCAAATGTGTCCCATACTCCCATGGGCAGTGGCTATAAATTGCCTAGGCACCTAGATATTGTGTCACAGTTTCTTGATTAACAATTATGCTTCAGCCCCAAGGTGTCAATCACACACGAGGCGAGGGCTAAGATGGATAAAGCGGCGAGGTTGAGAATGTGGGGGATGAAGGTCATTGCCATTCCTGAATTTATTTCATTCTGATTCCAGATATGAATTTTTATTCAAATGGCCCCTGAGTTTACATTTCAAGTTTGTCTGAATTTTGCTTACCTAAACCCCTTTGATACTTGCCGACCAGAGATGTCATCTGTTAAAATTATACATCATGGTCGAAAACCTTGGGCCTTAAATTGAGCTAGTAAGTTTATCCAATAATGCTGAAATAGAAATGAACACGAAGTAGACCATGATGCAACTCAGCATTTATTGGGGAATTCTTGGTATCCTATTTTACTAACCATCATGCCTTTCTACATACTTTTGAGTTTTGACCATCTGATATAGACATTTGGCACTGTTTTAGCATGTTAACTTTTCCAAAGTACTTTGGTATCCCTAATTCAGGTCAAATGTTTTCCCTTTCTTGTTCTTTTTGATTGCTACTCTTAACTTCCTCCATATTAATGCAAAAGCGAGGTTTATCTAAGAATAGAGGAGCTGACCTTTCCCAAACAAATGTGTTCTTCTTCAATCTATTGAGAGGGCTGTCAAAGTACCCTTTACAGGCTTCACCTAGCTTTGATGTTGCATAATTGGCAAGCACTTTCTCAGCAGCCTTCATTCAGGCGGTTTAACACTGCAAGTCCTTGCTTTCCCCTCTCCTTAGTCTGAGCTAACTTAAACTTTTGTCTCATTATGGGCTTCAAGTCTTTGATAATATTTCAAATGCTCTGGGCCTGGACTTCGCCATCAATTTACCCTAGTCTATATTTTTATCCAACTTTTATCGTATTTGCTAGCTTTTTCTGCATGTTGCTTTTTTCAATTATGCTTATTCTTTGATTTACCATGCGCTTTTCTCCCTTTCTTACAATTTTTTGAGCTCTACTTTATTGCAGATTTATAAGGGTTGGTTCACTCTTGTTAGCATAATCCCTCTATTGATACCGTCTTTGGAAATTTGCATACCTGTTATGGCTGTAAATTCCTTCCCCTAATCGCTTTACAACTGTGGCTACATATCTTTTGTCTGTCACCTTGAACACTCTTTCCATCTTGTGTTACCAACTAGTTATGTTGGATAGTCAAACAATCATTTGACCAATCTTTCATGAATTTAATTTGTTTCCCTGTTTTGCTGAGTGTATGTGTACCTCTGTTTCCTTGCATCATTTGATATTCTTTCTCAGAAAATTTAAAACATGATAGTGCAGAATTTTTGTGATCAGCACATCACTTTCTTGGAATGTTTCAAATGGAGGGAGCAATTTTCTTGGTAGGTTATACATTGTCAATGTGATTATGTAGGAGTGAGAAAGTTGGACAAAATTTAAAGGCTCAATGAATCCACAGATCTGGATGAATTTATGTTAGAAGTGGTTGTGCACAAAGTTGTGTAACTTGTGTTTCATACCTATGATTTTAGTCCCTAGTCCTTCCATTAGTGGGAATGTGGGATCCTTACTGGCCTTTTGTTTGCTTACTTGCTTTTGATGTGTTATAGTTGTAGTACATGCTGCTATCCGTTTGGAAAGGATTCAGCCTTTGTTCAGTTTGTTTATGCTTCTCTTCTTTTAAGTAATTTCCAATTTGGTTTATTCCACTTTCTTCTGCAGGTTCAGGGGATGGCAGTGTATATGCATGGAGTGTCCGCAGTGGCAAAGAGGTATGGAGTATTAAATGGTTCTTGTTTTAGTCTTCTTACCTGATTGAAGGTACTATCTTGTATTTCTGGATGATAAAATTTGAGGAAAAGATGTCACACTGGCTGTTTGGCTTCTTTGTTCTTCCTTGGCATTTTGACTTTTTAGAATCCCTTGTATCTGGATACCTAAGTTTGCATGAGCTAGAAATTAGGTGGTGGGGAACTTTTGATTTGGCAATCGTCATTATGGAAGGACATCTATAAAGGCTTTATCTTAAGAAGTGTATATAGTATGCGGTCTGGGAAGATCTAGGATTTTTTTTCCCTTGATTTATGTTGGAAATCAAAATACCACTACCATTGGATGTAACCCACCCTTGCATTTAGCATTGTGCGTTGTATATAAGCGGAAGTAATAAAACATGTTTTTCAGTGTAAAATTTCCATCATGCCCAAACTTAATGTTTCTGTTTTATTTTGTTCAAAATATGTGTTGAAGCAACTTTAGAGAAATTGAAAATCTTCAGCAGTTGTCAACAGCATTAGATTTCTGTTACACCTTGCTTAAACTGTTCAATTCTGACCTCATTTTCCCTTATTTTTAAAATCAAGGAAGGGGGGTGATTGATTGGTGCTTGGTGTGAATTGATTTGTTCTGTACCCTTTTGTGGCATCGGACAAATGTTCATGTAGTGATCAAGGTGTTAGATCCTATTGGTCACTTGTCCGTTGTATTAAATTTATATGCAAGCTATACATTAGGATCCTTCTGGTTAGTTGTCCATTATATTATAGTTTTCCAAGTCATACATGCATTCTAAACTCTTGATTTCTCATATCATCCACTGTTCATTAGAATTTGCAATTAGTAATGTTTTACGAATAATTTCTGTGTAGGTGGCAAGTTGGATGAGTACCGAAAAGGAACCTCCTGTAATAAAATGGGCACCAGGAAACGTCATGTTTGCCACTGGATCCTCTGAGCTATCTTTTTGGGTTCCTGATTTGTCTAAACTGGGAACTTACGCTGGAAGAAAATAGCAATGAGACTAATCATGGAGGAATTATTGCGGGAAGAAAATAGTCATGAGACTACCCATCAGATGGTCAAAGTTAAGGATTTATGCTTATTAGACATGCAGCTTGTCTAGTCAACTAGAAATGCAGCTTGCACCCTTCAATCACGATTTATGATGGAATCTTTCCTTGTAGTGAGTCTGCTTCAACAACTTATGTTCACAGCTCATGAATAAGACAAGTCAGAGTTATTATGGATTGAAGCTTCTTGAGGAGAAGTGGTGATACTTTGGCTGCATGCTGCTGAACTCATGTTACTGAAGAAATGGTCATTCATCCAGGTACTAACGTCGAGAACTCTGTATCATAATCTTATCTGTCGAAGAGTTCTATGTAACATTATAAATATACTCTTCTTTGATGAACTATATATTCATGATTTAGCTCATTAATTTTCACCCCTAAATTGTAACATATTTATATGTACTTTATAAATCTCCCACGCATTGGAGCTTTCTGTAACATTGTGAGTAACTTGGACCTTATGTTGACTGTTTGGAGGTGTTGTAACTTGATAAATTCGCACATGCATTCCCTTGCTTAATATCATCATCCATATTCACAAAGTGGCACTTGTAGACTTTAAGTATGGAGCTTTGAACTTGTATCCATAAAATGTTAGTTCTCATCTAGGAGTTCTGTTTTGTTTTACTCTTCAAGGATAGGTAGATAGAGATCTTTATGGGTGGTCCGCCCCAAATAATATGGACATAGATTTGACATGTACATGGCCATCATTCAAGTTGCTGGCCTCTAGAAAGTGCCACCAATAATTGTTTTGGGTATAAGTGAAGCTGGCATGGCCGAGAACCCTGTCAGTTTAAGCCCAAGAGCCCAATTCCCTCTCCATCTTTCCAACTCCTTAGTGAATACCGAACTCTGCGAAGGTGGTGTACATGTACCCTCCCCCATCCCTGATTTTCAAGGAACCTCTTAAAAAAGGAAAACCATTCAGATAAAGAAAGAAGAGCAAGGTGCAGGTCGGGCAAAACGAATAATATGGGAAAGCTTACGTTACATAGTCCTGATGCACATGCGCATAGTCTGAAAGTACAAAAATAACTTATGTAATGCACACAACAGAGCATGTACAATGTACAACTTACACAATGATGTTTGTGTGCATTTTGAGGGGGGTTATATTAGTACATAAAACTTGAGAAGAGTGAATTCAAAAACCAACCATTCAAAAATTACAAAGTGAAACCCTAAAATAGGCAAATGTTACAAGTTGCAGTAGTAAGCTTATGGAAGCAAAGCTTTCATGAAAAAAGGCGTGATGCATGTCACGCTTCATTTTGCTAGTTTAAGGACATTACGTACTTACCCTCTGAAAAAGTAGCCAAGATTTCCTTTGGATCTACAACTAAATTCCCCTACTAAGGGGATTATTGTCTTTTTAGTTACCCTTATTCTCTCTCTTCTTTCTCTCTCTCTCTCTCCTCTCTCTCTAACAGTAAGTGCCCTAAAAGACATTAGGGGTCACTCCTTGTAACAAAAGCTGGAAATTTTGTCAAACCAAATCAAGGAAAGGCATCCATCCAAAATCTTCTTGATTGGGACCCCACCATCATCATCATCATCATCTTTTTCCTATCTATCTCCTTTCAATGTTATTATATGGTGACCCCATTTGCTTTTCACTATTGGAAGTACGTAATTGTGTTGAAGAGTTTTGGGTTTGTTGAATAATCCTATTCTTTATTTGTATGCGTAATTGAGCTTGAATGATTTGGCTTGGGGTGTATATGTATTTGTATTTAAATTCCTAGACTCAAAAACAAATACTTTGTAGTTGAGTACGTGTTAAGTAGTGGTTGGTGTCGTGGTCGGAATTTAATAGTGGTGACAAGTGAAGTATTATATGACGATAATTTGATAGATTTCATTCACTACAGTCTAAAGTGGATATTTCGCAAACAAATATCTGAGGAAGTTTAACCTTATTAAAGGTAGACCTAAGATCAAATATCGTAAAGATATTGATACTATTGTCTAACTTAAGAAAAACTTTGTTAGAGTCATTTTACAAGTTGAGTATTTCCGTAAAAGTTTTGTAATTGCTCCGTTTGAGCATAGCCGTGTTGAGGGATGCCTGTAACATTACCCATATACTTCATTCCACTTCAGTTCAACACCAATGGGTAAATTTCACTGTTAAGTAACCTTAGAAGTACATAGAATTTTGATATGGGGCTAATAACGCGTAGTAATAATAATTGTAGCTAAGAAATTCGAGGATACTTTAGTGGATAGGGAAAATCTCGAGCAGTTGGAATGGTAAAAAAATTGATGGGACAGACAGACAGACTAATAATATGCGGCAATTTCTAAGAGAAAAAAAGGTTCACAAACTTCAAAACCCACAAATTTAGTTACCTTTTTATCTAATAATAACGGCTGAAATATTGTTTGTAGTTGTTATGTGTTCTTCCCTTTCATCATTGGAGGGGAATTTCTCGAGGTTCTTTCTCTCTCCTTTTTTTTGAAAGAATTATTATGACAAGTAGGACTGAGATTTTGTAAATGTGCAGGCAAATATCATATCAAATTGTACCCACTTTGATACCACAAAATAAATAAAATGAGGGACTATAAATAATAATTCCATTTACAAATAATTCACACTATGAATCAAATTGTATGAGTAGCTAGGGTTCACTTCCCACCAATTCACCTTTTTCGTGGGGTGCTATCTTTCATCTCTAGTTTATATTCCACGTGCACATATCTTTATCTTATCTTGTTTTTATATTTCTGTGTGTATGTATATGAGTGAGTATATGTGAACCAACTTTGATGTTTTTCTTTTACATTATGTGTAAGGTATAGAATCCTAAGATGTTGGGGTTGAATCTCACCAAGTGAGAATACTTGAATCTCACCCCATTATTTCAAAGTATCTTACTCACCATTAAGAATATTGTGATGGTCGAGATCTAGGTTGGGTCATTCTCTTAATCTTAATAAAAAGAAAAATAAATAAATATGCGAGGTACTTAGCTCGTGTGATGAGTCTTTAATATCCTATTGTACTTAATACTACATAGTAACTTAAAAAATTTACGAAGCACGGAATATATTTTTATGTGCAAATGTGTACCCTAATGCATTGGAAAATATTATCATAGTTCAAAGATAAAGTTAGGCTTTGTTTTGTTTGTTCAATCAAGGAAATGAACTGCAGATAAAATAAAGTAAAATAAATTATGAGAAGTTAAGTTTAGAGGGGGGGAAAAAAAATTGTTCAAGTTCAATAATACGGAGTAAAAATTAAAGTAGGCTCTAAAAAGTTAAATGAATGATACACACCTTAAAATCTGGATATTGTGACATGTTTACATAAGTATATCTGTATATGTATATGCATGCAAGTGTGATTAATGATGTTGATTTACATCCTTAAAGATAGATTATTTTGTTCCAAAATCATCAACAATTCCCTATCTCCCAACATAGGTGATCTGTTTTCAAAAGTTTAATTAAAAATAATGAAAGCTACCCACCTCTTATTAGATCCAAAAATTGATGGAATCTTAAGGTACTACTGTATTAAGAAATGTTAAATCTTAATTTTTGTGTTATAGGGTTAGTTGTAAGCAAGAATATGGCCCCTTTTAAATTAAGGTGTTTTTTCATGTAAATAAACTAAACTTTTTCCTCAATAAATTTAAATGCATCTTGCTAAAGAGTGCCCAGAGACGTTAGATAAGGAATGATTATATTGGTTTATGCGTAGTTCAGTGTAATTAATGTTAGTTTTACCCTAATATTTTCAATTTTTAATTTTCTTATCTAACGTTCCGGAAGCACTCATTAGCTTTTGCCAATTTAAAAATGACCCCTTTTAAATTGAAGCGTTTTCATGTTAATAAGATAAACTTTTCCCTTAACATATTTAAATAACATATACAAAAACAAATGACTGGCCATATGAATAACAACGTGGAGCTAAATCAAATACGGTATATCATGTATTGCCGTATTGGTAGTCTGCTTTTGGTGATTTGATTTGAATCTATCTGCATGAATTTAGTATGTTTGCAGTTTTTTATTTTAAATTTTATATTATAAATGCTGTTTTGGCTGGTCTTATCATGTCAAGCGAGATGATATTTGAGTTCATCTTCTTACTCGTCTAGTCCCTACAAATCTGGAATTATATACACATGCATGTTGGGACTTGCTGGGAGCATTGCTTCTTCCCTAATTATTATGTTGATGAGTATCTTTTGTCACTATAATCCTGGATCTTCATGAAGAGGGAACTACGTCTTTGTATTACGTGATAAACAAAAACAATGTTTATCTTGTGGTAAAAATGTCATGCTAATTGGGATATTTTATAGATTTATTATAAAAATGTTATTAGATAAACAATTTTTGTTTATGTTGAGGATTAACTAGGGCTCCCTCGTGTTATATGATTTGAAAATTGCTCATATGACCATCCTATTTTCTTGCCCCGTATAGTATTTTTTATATACGGAGTAATATTTTGTTATACATGTGACTATATGTGTCTATGTGAGTACATGTCATCCGATCCTTTAGTGATACATGGAATTTTACTAGTTAGTATTGTTCTCCTTGTGCGTGGTATATGACATCAAGTGATAAAAATTTACATAGTACGTAACACTTTTATTGGCCATCCAAATCCAAGGATTATGATTTCTAGGGCATTAATCCATTTTTCAATGCCAATTTTTAGGAGAATTTTTGAGTTGTGAGTGAATTTTTGATGAATTACCTTAAAAAAACATTATTTTATGAGTTATTCCTAAAGTTTAATGTTTACAAAATTTGACATTTTGTGCCCCAAACATCATGTTTTGTTTTCTAACACGTTAGTATACAAATTTGGACCTCCCTTACAACATCATAAAGAAAACACGAAAAGGTTTCATACCCTTAATAGCCCTTGCATTAAATTAGGTTGAGTCATCACTTGAGTGTCTTAACATTCTATTGATTAAACACAGAATGAATTGCACCATCTATCTGAAAATATATGCACAATTTTAGTTAAACTAACTTTAGTCAGGAACATCAAGAATAAGGTCGGTATTAAAAACATTTGTATTGTACAGCTAGATGTATTTACTTATTACGCCAAAATATAATTTAAAATATCGTGAGTAATTAAGTACATTAATTTAATAAAAAGTGAATATTTTGTGGATATTTTTTTTTTATCATACATCAGCTAATGAATCTCCTTGTATTAAAATATATATATATATATATATATATATATATATATATATATATATATAGATATATATATATATATATATATATATATATATATATATATATATATATATATATATAGTGTAATTTTACTGAGTATTAGTTTATTATTTTGCATTTATTGTATGAAGAAGACATATAACAACAAATATTCATATATCTTGTTATTAATTAGACAGTGAGAGAGTTGCTTTTGTTTTCTTTATTTGATTGTTGAGGCAGAAAGGATTTGTAGGGCTAGTCCTGTTGTGTAGGCTTGAGGTTCTGAAACAGACTTAACAACAGGTCATGTGTACTTCTTGTTGCACTGTTCTAGTCAGATACCAAGAGATAGAGACACTCACATACACAGACCCATCACTCACTTATTCCTAATGTCCTTTTTTCTTTGATTTAATATATTAACATACTAACTCCGTTAATTATTATGTGCGAGCTAGTAAATTAGATTACCATAAGATCATAATTGTACTCTATTAATTATTAAATGCGAGGTAGTAAATTAGATTATCACTATGTAATATACTCACTTGGATATGATTAGAAATTTAAGTACATCCTAATTACGCGGCCTTAATCATAAGTTATAAGAATACTAGGGTCTTGTTTGAAAGGGTAACATTACAAGGAAAACGTACATATACCCTCATAACTAAAGACCACTACCTAGCTAAACTCTTAGCTTACTAGTATATGACAATGATTTAGTGATTATGATGGTTAGCGTTAGACTAACTAATTAACTTACTAACTAAAACTTACAATAATTAATAACTAATTAAGATTAGACAGTCAAGGACGTACTATACTCTTCTTAGAGTAGTCATCATACTACAAATTAGATATTTGGTGAATAATAGCCATAACCGTAGGAGTTGAGGCTAAGCTCAAGGGAAGTATTGCCACCGCTACCATTAGACCATCGGTATCCACCGGTGTAATACCCGCCGTCTGATGGAGGCTTAATGGTATAGAAGCCGTGGTTGTGGTCGTGGTCGTGATCAAGCTCTTCATTGTGCATAGGGAAGAGAGGAAGGGTCTCTATCTCTGGTGTTTCTGACCCATAATGATCTTGGTCAATGTAAGGATCTTCGTCGATGGTTGATATCTTGTCCAGTAAATTTGCGTAAGATGCTGGTGCATATGGACTGTAATTAGCTCCAACTGCAGTCCACTGGTTCACATGATTTCCTCCATTAAAAATACCTCCTGATATTGAACAGTCCTGAAAATAATATTTTCCAGTCAAAAAAATTATATATAGTGATCAGAAAAAAAAAAATATAGAGCATAGTACTATTCTATTAAGCTATAGTCTAGTGTCCAATTTAGGTTATTAATTTTCACTATCTATACAAAACAGGCCAACTTTACATACTCCTCTGTTACATATTACTCGCTACAAAAGGGTATTAATTGTAAGACATAAAGTATTCATTTGTTGTGAGTAATATGTAACGGAGGGAGTACATTATACTATAATTAACACTATTGTACTAGTACCCTAATATTCTTCAATTTTCTTCCATTATATTCATCTCTATTATGATTAAAATCTCGGTATAATCCAAAAGATTAGACTGAAAGAATATGATCATACTTATTACTGATTGAAAGAACTGTTAAGATTTGGGTTTAGATTTTGCAGGATGAATATGGGCCAAAGCTAAGAGTACTTTAAAGTACTTGTACTTATATGCATATATAGTATAAGAAATTGAAGTTGCTAATAACTAATTAATACTTGTATTATTAACAAGGAGGTTTAGGGCAAAAAAGGGTAATAAGTGTACTTACCCTAAACTTATTCTCCATGTTAACAGCTCCATACCCAAAACCCCCCATCAACTGTCCTCCACCAGGAATTTCTTGTCCATTTGATGAACTCGAACACGAAACCCCTGCAACATATATTACAAAACACCCAAATATATCAACTAAACTATTTTTCACAGAAAAATAAGTTAACTACAAAATTACAAAAAAAACAACAAAAATGCTTCTAAATGAACATTATACTACATCTAGTTAAAACATTTTCTTACAACAAAAAAAAAAAAGTTGTAAATTTTTACCAGGATTGTTAATAGTGCAAGGGTACTTATTAGCATGAAGAGTGATATCCTGATGATCTTGTTTCCAAGTAAGACCACCATTTCTGACGAAATTATTATTTCTACCAACATTATTACTATTATTAGTAGTAATAGTATTATTAGTAGGGTTATTAGTAGTAGGGGAGGTAGGAGTAAGCCTCTTCTTCTGTCTCTCCCTAGCCTTATGATTCTGAAACCAGTAGAAGACGTTCTTGCCTTCGATCTTGCCATACCGCCTTAGCCGAGCACAAATGCTCTGAATCTGATCAGCAGTTGGAGACCGAACTCCGTTGATGTAGTAAAGCTCCTTAAGAAGCTTAATTTGCTCTGTTGTTGGTGTCCATCTTGTGCTACTTTGCCTACAAAGGTAGTTGTTGCTGGTATTAGTAATGTTATTATTAGTCATTTTCCCACAGTTTAAGTTCATGTTCATCTCATCTTGTTGTTGTGATTCCATTTTATGAATGTTTGGGAATAAATTTGGAAGAGTTTTAACAAGAATTTGTAGTTATTTTTGTTTGGAGTAGAGGGTTTTATTTTAGAGAGAAGTTTGTGTTAGAGAGAGAGGGAGTTGTAGAAAAAAGGAAGGGACAAAAGAGGTTTGTAGAAAGACTGAGGGATCAGAGGATATATATTGCTTGGGTGAAAAGTTATGGAGAAGTTTGATTTTAAGAAAGAGAGAGAAAATGAATGAATGAATGTGTTTTATAAAGTTTCTCTATTTTTACATAGCAAGTCACCCAATAATAATATAAAGAGGTTTCGACTAATCCGGATTTAAATTGAATTAGACTTCAATTAGGAGAAAATCTCGGTATTTCTAGTTTGACCTAAAACAACCTTCGATTAAAATAAAACAACTGATTTACCAGTTTACTAGATGATTCTAACACTTGTTTATTTTACTCTCTATTATATTTTGTGAATTTTTTTTAAGGAAGAATTTTAGAGTTTTTTTTTACTAGGGTTATCTCCCAATTTTTTTACTTTTTTTTTTATTATTTTTTTAACCATGTTCAAGAAACTCAGTACCTGTTTTTTTATAAATAAACAAAAATTAAAGGTGGTATGAGTTACTCAGAGTTAGGGTGCATTTTTCAATAGTAATCATTGCAGTTTCAGAAAAGTGAGTGCAAATAATTCTAAGTGTAATTAAATACTTATAAATATTTATATATTATTATATTCTGAGTGAAATTAAAAGTTGATGATACTGTCTCCTGTTACTAATGATATTCATGTATGTGTAAGTGTGAGTTCATGATATGTTGATGATGATGTCTTAAAAGATTGTTTAATTAATTGGACAAATCAGAAAAATGAAAGTAAATAGAATTTGGAATTACTGAAGTTTTGATGACATTATTAAAAGCTTTGTGAGGAGTAAAGTGAGTGCCATTTATTGCATGTTCTTAAATGTACTTTCAGGATTTTAATGAAAGATGCATTTCAACATGGAGTATTTTTTATTTTGAATCCCATGATGTTTGTTTTCTGGTTTGTTTGATGTAAACTTGGTCGTGGGAAGTCTCAAAGATTATTTCAAGCATTTTTTTTTATCAAAAAAAGGGCTTAGGTTTAATGGTGTGGTTTTTACTTTTAATCTCTTTCTCAAACCGTATAGAAAATTGGTGTTTGTTTAAAAGTTGTGTTAAATTTTTGAAACGTCGGATGGGCTTCATTGAGAAGTGAAAACTCCGACATGTGATTGACCCGCTTATCCCCATATAATCCCATATTGTGTACTCCAAAGTATCAAATCGAGTTATGATTGGGTATCCATATAATTTATGTGGTTGTGTTAAATTATGTGATATATGTGCATTGTCAATTTGGTTTTGTGTGGCATAATTTTATAAGTACTCGACAGTCAATACTCCTTGATACAATGCAACCTATAATAAAAGGCAAAAGCTAACGAATGTCCGGGGGCGTTGGATAAGCTAACTACAAGTGGAAACGTTAAATTAAAATGAACATTAATTACACCGATCGACACTTGATTTTGTCATGCTTTTCCAAATTTATATCACTTTTGGTAGTATTTTAAATATTTATCCAACGTCCGGGGGCGTTCGTTAGCAAGATCTATGATAAAAATCGAACCTCAACCAATTCATAAATAATTCATTATGCTTTAAATTACTCGTTGCATGATTTCCGTATGACTTGAAGTTGTGATTCTATAGTATAATTTATACTTTTGTAAGTAGTTTGTCTGTACTTCATTCTATAATTACCTCTTTATCATTGTCACATAGAGTCTCACAATTATTTATTACTACCTCCTTTTCTTATTAATTGCAACTTTGAGGTATTATTTGTGAGATATAAAATATTTCAAAGTTGCAACTAATACGAAACAGAGGTAGTATACAATTAAGGAAATATTGTCAATCTTAAGGTAAAAGTCAGGACTAATATATAAGCTTTAGTTATAAAGTTTAGAAATTTAAAGGTAAAGAGAACACACCCTTTAGGTAAAAGTCAGGACTAATATATAAGCTTTATGTGATTCATTAGACCTTTTAACGTATCCCTCTCTTTAATTTTTACGAGAAAGATTAATTATATACCTGCTGAGAAAATAACTCACTTAAACTATGAAATGAGCATAAAATAAGTACATGGTATACATGAAAAGGTATGGGTCCTGCTAATCTCCATAAAGGTTTCTATTCTCCACTCCTTTTAGAGAGGGCTTTTCGACCAATTAAAAATGGATATAACAAATACTATAGATATGCAATTATGCATGAATTTTATTTTTATTTTCCTTTTTTGTTGGTAGGGTTGAGAAGAGTTCACAAATGTTCAATACTTGTATGTAATGTTTATGGTTGCAAGAGATCAAATTCATCATTCATTCATGAGAGTAGTGATTAATTTTGACAAGAGTTCGAAGTTGTGTGTCATTATAGTTTAACAAATAAATATATTAAGAGGTATACTACTATACTTGACTACTCTGAGTGTTGAGAGTGTTGAATGAAGAGCACAACCTATATTAAAGCAAGAGCAATGCTAGATCATAAAAGGGTTGTTAGTACGGACAATGATGAATATTCAAAGGGTTATTAAGGAATACGGTAGGTTATAACCATGTAACCAACATATAACCAACAACACAATAATACATACTCGGCATATCAACAAAGCTGAGTACATACATATTGTAGAGTAATTGAACATTGACATATGTGTAGCATTTTGAAGATAAAAAGAAAGACACATAAAATCCTTAAACATAAATCTTACGGAGTTTTATATAAATCTCATAGGCAAAAATTAAACCTACTTTGTGTATGTAATGTATGGATAAACGTTAACACTATAATAAATCGCGTAGCTTAAATTGAATTCTCCTCCTAGATTAAATTTAACAAAACAAATTTTAATATTTTTTTTAATTTGAAGCTTCTTTCCGAGAATGTTTGGCTATAATAAATCAAGTAGATCTGAATCATAAAACTAAAATGAAGAAAAGAGATAGAGGATCTGAAGATGAATAATTGTAGAACAAAAATGCCTATTTTCAGGATATCAGAGCTACCCACCATTCAGTCTATACAGTAGACTCATATTAGTAATTTGCCTATTTTTGTTACCATTTTCTATTTGTTTATAGCTTCCATTATTCAAGTCGGCTACTAGAGGGTGGTCCAGGCACTCAAGTTATTAACTTGCATGACTAAACCCTGCCCAAGTTCCAATATTAATTCATCATATATTATGCATTTACAATTTGCATTATGTACATACGAAAAATTGACAATGAATCTACTTGGATCATATCACACTTTTTGTCAATACATAAAATTTTAATTACACTGAATTAATCCGTAAGGGTAGGCTTATATATGTGGTAAATGAGTCATTTAGACCTAATCTGGTTCACATTATTAAATTTGTATTTTAATCGGGTAATACTCATATTCAAAAGTTCCGTTGTTCATTTATTTTTCTTGAAGATTCGTACTTTGTATAGTAGTAGATCATTTTCTTATGATGTGGTCAATTTCTGTATGGCTATGAGTAAAATTCATTGTCAAATAATTTTGGTTTACTTCAATATTATTTGATTACCTTATTGCATGTTGCATTGAGTCATGTCTTGGATTTAATATACCTATGTACTTTTATGAAATAAGGGTCTGTTCACGTTTACTGAACTAAGTTGAGCTGATTGAACTGAACTGAATAAAACTGAAATGAATATTTTATAAGAGAAGAAAATTAAGGATTTAAATGAACTGTAATGAAGCTGAAGTGAACTGGCCCTAGGTTTATCACCATAATTCCATAAACATTGAGTTCCATATTTCACCATTATATAAATTTTGGTTTGTAATTTTGTATGTTGTCGATTATAAGTTTTTTTTTTTTTTTTTTTCAAGTAAAATCATGTCATTGTCATAGTGTGTTTTTCTTCTTTTTTTTTTTTAAAAAAAAAAATCATTGAAAATGTGAAGAATATAAAATAGATCTAATAGGGTTATATGTGTTGGGCCTACCATAGGCCCACACTAGAGATTGATTCTAGTGAAAACTGCAATGTACTGTATCAGAAAAGGTTAGCCCGATATACTTGTATAGTTGTATGGTATCACAAATTCACAATCACCTTCTAACTTGTCTCTTGATTTTGTTGTCTAGTCGAATATTCAGCTTATATACCAATTTTTAGAATTTGGATCTATACTTAACCGCATCAAGCTAAGAGACATATACTCGTACAACACAATTTTAAGTCATGATATTCTATCTTCAAAACAATTGTAATTAATCTATTAGTTTAGTCACCTATACACTTCAGATATAAGGTAAGAAGTAACACTTTTACTTACTCATACGACTACACATATGAGACACCTATAATTCTCATCATAATTATACTAAAATTAAAATATTTGAAAAATTAGTAAAATTCAAAACAAAAAGGTAACCTTAATTGAAGGTCGGTCCAACCAACCAATTAAAAGTGGGAAATTGAGAGATATTGTTATTTGATGAGAATAAAAATAAGATGAATCAAAGTAGTCCTAATAATAATTACTAGTGAGAGAAAAGGGAAGTGTAACAGAGGGAAAGCGGCTGGCTCAGCCACCCTCTTGATGATTTATGACTAATGAGGTAAGCACAAAATTAAAGCAATTCATCTCATTATTTGGTATTTAGAAATTTATGCAATTTCCAAATCCAAAATCCTTTGCTAGCAAATCAAAATCTTTTAACTTGATCATGTGACAATCAGTGTGATAGATCGATTTGAGAGGTGCTAACACATTTATTTTCTATGTTATTCCCTTCCTTATCGTTTTAGGACAGGTGGATTTTTTATCTTGGAAAATGAACTTATCATGAATCCATCTTCTTGTGAAACAAGACTTGCTTCATATGGGGCATCTAGCAAAGTAATTTTTTAGGGTAAAGAGAATAACCCAACTTTGGTTTAGTTGGCCTGGTGATTTTTTTGAATTAAACGGTTTGAAGTACTCAAGTAAGGGATTGAAATAAGAAGAACGCATCTATAAAAAGCACACCTGAATCATACTAACTCATACCCTAGAATAAGATGAATAGAACAAACCCTTAATCTGAGTCATGCAGTGATTACTAACTTACTGTTTGCTCACTTAGTAAGGATCTTACCTCATATCCTAGAGCTTTAGATTCGAATTACACTAGGTGGAGCTGTGAAGCAGTGAAGGTGCTTGTGAGTAAGAAATTCATTACCCTCACGGCCTCACCTCTCAAGTGCTTGAATATCATACTGTTAAGATATATATGTAAATATATTCTGTTACTGTATTTTAGCTAAGCATATATTTAGATTGATATGATTGTAATTAGTTCCTAAATAGGTGCCTTGTATTATGGCTAGCATTATGCGGCTACATTGTATATATTGGGAAGTCAGTGAATGAAATCCCTTGAGGAAAATATTCCATATATTCTGTTACTGTATTTTAGCTAAGCATATATTTAGATTGATATGTCTTAACACATACATTAAACCGAAAAAAATCATAAGGATTGATGCACCTTTTGTTATTAGTAAAGTCATTAAATTGGGATTTGAATTATCGAGATTTTTTTATAATTTTTTTTATAGATAAGGTGCACGGGAAGCCCCCTCCTATCACGAGGGATGAGGTTCGAACCCCGTCACACGCCGTCACACGGGAGCATCTCCTAGATCTATTTTTAATCTA